AAAAGACCAGCTAAGGAGCCACATGGTTTTTCCAAACTTTATGCACCCAGAGAACTAGCCAGCAAAGGAAAAGAAATGCACAACACTGAACAGTGAGATTAGAAGAAAAGGAAATGCTGCTCAAACAAGATACTTATTTCTAACTCATTTCCCTGTTTTCGGCTGGGATAGAGTTAATTTTCTTCCTAGTAGCTGGTGCAATGCTGTGTTCTGGCTTTAGTCTGAGAATAATACTGATAACACACTGTGTTTTGGTTGTTGCTAGGGAGTGCTTACTCTAAGTCAAGGACTTTTCAGTCTCTCATGTTCTGCCAGTGAGGAGGGGCACAAGAAGCCAGGAGGGAACAGAAACAGGACACCTGACCTAAACTAGCCAAAGGGGTATTCCATACCACAGAACATCCTGCTCACTGTGTAAACTGGGGGAAGTTGGCCAGGAAATACCAGTCACTGCTTAGGGATGAGCTGGGCATTGGTCAGTGGCCAGTGAGCAACTGTATTGTGCATCACTTGTCTTTCTCAGGTTTTATTTCTCTTTCACTTTTTGTTGTCTCCCTTTTCATTACAATTATTGTTATATTTTGTTTCAATTATTTAATTGGTTTTATCTCAACCCATAGGTTGCACCTTTTTTTCTGATTCTCCTCCCTATCCCCCCAGAGCAGGGGTGAGTGAGCAAGCAGCTGCATGGTACTCAGTTACCAGCTTGGTTTAAACCACAACATTCCTGCTTCCTATACAGGCTGCGAACAGTACAGATTCTCTGGATGAAACTGCAAAGCCTGAGCTTTGCCTCAGCTGTCAGTGCTGCCTCAGGTATTGCGCATCTCCCCACAGTCCAACAACTCTGAAACACACAAACACTTCTGGGCAGTACCTTTTAGAGATGTTCGAATCATCACGAAAACTGTTTTCATACTGCCAACCAGAAAGACGGTGGTTTTAGGACGGAGCAAATTAACTGCCATACCTAAACACCTCCAAGCTCACCAGCATTTTTCATTTTTCCCATGCCAGCTTTTCCCTGCCAAACACAAAGGAGGCTGTAGTACATATATGCAATAAACTGCAGTAATGCATGCAGTAGATTGAAATACTGCATTCACTGGCTTATGGATTCAAAGTCTCACTGGGAGTGCTGCAGATCTACATAAAGACTGGGTGGCTGGATTTGACTCTCTGACATATGTAACAGATGTGTAAAGTAACACATAACCAGATGCCTCTCTAGTAAATGTACAGCTACAGACTGAAAATCCCTAAAAAGTTGTGCCCAAGGGCAAAGAAGAAGTGGGAGAATAAGAGCAGTGTCCTATATCTAGTAAGAAAATAAAAGTTTTAAGCTTTATGAATTTTTTCTCTACATACAAGAAACAGATTTTTCATGTCTGTAATTCAGCTATGGTATTATGAGAGAGGGTTCCTAAGCAGCTGGGGAGTCCAGCCACTGTGACCTAGTTTGCTCCATGCTAGGCTGATCAACTGTTTCTTGGCATCTGTGAAACTTCAAGGTCCTACCTCCAAAACCTCCACTGTGACTCCAAAAACCTTCAACCAGAAGGGGAGTCTGACTCCTCAGAAGGAAAACTCCTCTGGACAAAAACCATATGGCTGTGTAACAGTAATCATCACGGAGGCCCCTCTCCACCCCCTGAATTGGTGTGTCCTGGACACAGTGGCTTGGAGAAAATAGCTGGTGTGCTTTCACAATAACCTTCTAAGGCAGATGAGAATGGTGGGTGAGAAAAGGCAAGAACTTGTTTAAAAGCCTCAATTTAAAACTTCTGGGTGCTTCCATCTTATGAAGTAAGTTAAAACCACTCTCTACTAGAAACTGTGTGAACCACTGACTTCAGATCTGGATCCTGCCTTTTGCAAAGCTGCTGGTGGGCTTGGATCCAAGGCTTTGGTTCAAGCTCTTATCTACTCCATACTAAAATGACTTATACCATACGTCCTTTATAATAAATAGCCTCACAGTAAGGAAGCACAGTATTGGCATGTTTCATATTTACATCACTCTTCTGAAAGCCAATGCACATGGTTTAAGGAAAGAACTGGAAATATTACAGCTTTCAAATACTTTGCCTTATGTGGTTTACAGCCAGAATAGTCAACAGCTATGTAAGCTTCACCCACTTTTACATCGTGTGTTAAGCAGGGCAAGTCCCAGGTAATGCCCACCAGGGCTGAGCAGATCAGGCACATTGGCAGCAGTAAAGGCACAGCCACATCCCACCACAGCAATGCACTGAGCTGTGCCACTCCACTCTCCCGGCTCGCCACAATGAAGGTCTCCACTCTCCATCACCACCACCTCCTCTTTACAAAGGCTCACACACGCTTACAGAAACAAATGAACAATTCCATTATGTGCCTGGCAGCCTGTGCACTTTCTTTCTGATTCAGAACAGAGGTGCCCCACTGAACAGGGGGGAGGGGGAGGAATGACTAAAAAAATCTAAGCGAGTCTCCAGCAAGCACACATATTATCAAAGCCTCATTTCCACTTAATGCAAGTTGCTTTGGGAACTAATGCAGCTGACTTGAGAGGAAAACACAAACAAACAAACAAACAACCTCTTTTTCCATCAGCTGGGGTGCAGAATCAAGCCAGTGCCATCTTTGTTGAAGAGCTCCATGAAACTAATGGTTTAAGAGAGCTGAGGAGCATGGACAGGGGACAATTTGTGACTGAGCACTGCCATCTGAACATGGCACACTGACAGCTGAAAGAAGAGCAAGAAAGAAAGGCAAAACAAAACTGGCATGTGTTTAATCTGGGCAGGCTCAGTCCCCTGTATTCACTCCCAGTGAAAAACACAAGAGAGGAGGAAGTTGGTCCCTTTGGGTGCTCAGCTCAGCACCCACATAACTCCCTGGCACACACCAAAGGACCTTCTCTAGGCACTCAAAAGGGGGCAATATTTATTCACATGCTGAAAAAAAAAAAAAAAAGGGCAGGAGTAGTGCTACAATTTAATGTACCTTAAAATGAGTCTTCCGCCACCAAAGAACTTGCCTTTCTTTAATACTCCGCAAATGAGCTCCTCCTGCACTCTCCGATACAAAGAAAACTAAAAACGATTCAAGTTTTGTGACTACAACAGAAAGCTGATCAAATTATTATAAAGACCATACAGGTGCTACAGAGATACCTTCCCCTGAACTTCAACACAAACTTCCTCCAAGAGCAACAAGGAGGCAGCTGTGAAAGGAAAATCATACATATTATTCTTGTCCGACGTCAATGAAAAGACTACAGGAATAAAAGCATTTGGATTTATGCTCTGCAGAGCTGAGGAGGAATGCTTGCCACCAGAAGAGTGGGACAGAGAGAAAGCAAAGGTGGGCTGAGAGTGATCACACATGGGTCACTGTAGTGCACTCCTACCTCTCGCTAGTTTGGACAAGACTGTCACCCTATGCCTGAAACAGGGCTCGCTCCAGAGAGGAAGACATTTCCCCACCTGAGCCACAGGGATAGGGAGAGAGGGGAGGGTGAGAATCAGAGCCCCTAAAGGGCGTACAGCAGCAGTTTCAAGCAGATTTGCATCAGTACCTCATTTCACAACTACAAAAATCACCTCAAGACTCCCACCAAGAGAGTCTCGTATTCCTTTTTGGACTCAGTCTCTAGTGCAAGACCTGCACATAAAAAGGAGCTGGCTATACTGATTTGCAGAAGTTTTCAGATAAATCAGTACCAATACCTACAGGACTATTACAGTTTCCCAAGCAATGGCTCTTGTCCACTAACCAGAAAGGAAATATTTAGCTCCCTGAAGTGAACCTGTTGATTTCAAAAGAAACTTAATAGCTCTATTCCTACAAAGCAAATACTGAGCAATCACCAGGGGCCGGCTATGCCCTCCTCTCTTCTGAAACATGGTAAGCAACAAGGTCTGCAAATGCCACCAGCCAAAGAGGTTTGATATTCTGCACATTTGTGGGATTGTATCTCCTGCTTCTTCCATTTTCAGTGGATCTTTTTGATTCTGCAGCTTTCTTACAGCAGTTTTGTCTCTTTCAGCATAATTGGGGGGCAATACAGAGTAAATAACTTGAAATTCTTATTTAAGAAAGAGGCTGGTGGTTTTAGTTTTCATTTATGCAGCATTTTCAGTGGTTAAAAGTTTTACAATTGTAACATTTTCTCTTTGCTAGACAAAAAAAAAACAAACAACTGGGAGGTCATTCTTTTCTAGCGAGACATGAAAACAAAAAAATGACGATTTAAGGGAAAAGGTGAGCTTTTCCCTGTTACTCTTGATTGCCTTTATTAAAAAAATTATTAACTCAGGACCACAAAATTCCACCTCACTCAGGGAACTCTTAATTCAGCTGCTATTCAAATATCTAAGTGCAATCTGCAACTCTAGTTATGAAATGGGACATTATTTGCTTTCTACATTTAACTCTACTTGTTCAAAGACACACTGATGAAGCAATTAGGGCAGATATATTATTAAAGTCTCTGTTAAAAGTTTGGTATTTCAATGAGGCACTTAAACATAAAAATGAGGACTATATGTTTAATACAAAAATATCATGAATGCTATAAAATCAGATGACTCATGACATTATCACCAACAGTAAGAGAATTGTATATGCATTTTTCTGGCTGTGCATTGTGTGTTTTTCAACAGCTTTCTTCTGCACAGTTCCCATAGAACACAGACTCTAAACTTGGAATTATTTAGGCCCATGCCTAACTTTTCAGGGAGAATAGTGTCATTGATTTAAAGAGCATTTAGCCCTTAAAAATGTTAGAGTGATTGCCTGTTTGTGGGATTAGACCTCATGGGGCCCATTTTCAAAAAGATAAGTGCATTACACATTCTTGCTGCTGTTTCTGGGTTTGCCATTAAAGTTCTCTCCCTCCCTCTCCCATCTGTTTTCATTGCCTCCGACAGAAATATCACAACACTCTGGGGTAAATAATGATTAATTTAATTACAAACTAACTGTAACTTTTGCAAGACCCTCCAATAACTTACCTCGAATCATGTGAGTGTTTCAAGATGCAATTGCAAATCTTCTTTTTTCCCCTTTTCTCACAGGAGGTGTTGCAGTCTTTTTTTTCTGATGTTTTGCATTAAAACACTCCCTGTACTCCAGGATCTTAAATGAAAACAAAACAAGAAACACTCAGAATGAAAATGTCATTTCAAGCCATTGGTGGGTGTCTCAGGGGAAATCCCTGACCTTTCTCCAATGTATATTTCATTATCTAACCAAGTGTGATAACTCCCCACAGCAGAAGCAGCATGAACACTCTTCTGTGGGCTGTCCTTAAAAAAACAGCCCCAAAATCCCCTAAAAACAAAAACACACACACCACACCACAACCCCACTATTCTAGACCACTCAAAAAATGTTACTTTAAAAACCTGCCATACAGTACACTACAAACTATTCATCTAAAGCACAATTCAGTATATACCAGACTCCACAAATTTATGAGGGTGAAAAGAGAAGAAAGTCCAGAGATACAAATCAGACCAAAAAAAAAAAAAAATCATTATGTAAAGTATCAAACTCTTACATGGGAGAGCAATCGGCAGTTTTATTATTATTACTACCACTCTTGTTATCACTAATAAAATGTATATGGCCAACTCCCTAAATCTTCACTGAGTTACTGTAGTATTTCTGTAGTAGCGGCGTGGGGGAAGTAGTAGCTGTGCTGGAGAAGCAGTGCAGCGTTAGCACGACAAAACCCAGCCGGGCTGACGAGAGAAGAAGGAAGGGAGGAGGAGCGACAAAGCAAATGAGTAAGAGAAACTGGCAGGTCTGTAATACAATCAATTTTGACATTCTCCACCATCACCAAAAAAAGGTCTGAATAAAGGAGTTTGAATTTTCAGCGAGTGCTGCTTCCAGAAGCCTTTCTACCCAGCCTCCATTTCACCCCTCCTCCCTCTCCCATACCTGCAGCAAGGCGGGCCAGGAGCTGGCTGGGTACCTAAGCCTCCAAACCAGGCTCTGTCAGCAGGAAAATCCCCTGGCTGTGAGAAGAAAACACTGCCAGACAGTGCAGAGTTCGCCTTCCCTCTGAGAGCACAGTCTTGCATTTGCATGGCCCCTCCGGATTAAAGGCATCCCAGTTATTTCTCTACAAACAAATTTTCGGACCAACAACTATATTCATTCTTGTTCTGTAAAAAGTCTGAAAGACAAACTGTTCCCAGGGCTACACCTGTGCCTATCCCCACTGAAGCCAACAAACTTTCAAAACACAGTGAAGAACAGGGGATGTGACCTTGCAAGCATGTAAGCCAGATCACTTTGGTTTTCTTCCTCAGCTAGGACAAACAGCACCGAATAATTTTTACACTGCTTTTAATTAAGAAACAGAGAGATTATCCACAGCCTCCTGGGGATGTATGTACTCCAGAAAATACAACTTTTTCAAAAGCAGTCAAATTCTAAAAGTACAGCTTTCAACATCACTGTTTATTCCCACACACACACACACACACACTGAGAAAACAATCCAAAACTCTGAGCAGGCCAACACAAACAAGGGGGAAAGTGGGCTTCCCTTGACACCTGCACAAAGGCTGCGCCTGCGTCACCGCTCCCCTAAGCTGCTTACAGTACAAACAAATCCAAAATACTCCATTTAAATTACCCTGCTCCCCCACTCCACGGTGCCTGTTCTCACTTATACGGTGTTGCTGCTTTCAAGGAGCCTGCTCTCACTCAACATGAGTAAAGGTTGCAACAGCTAAGCCTACAGACTTGCAGGAAGAGGACAAAGCCTTCTAAAGCTGCAACACAAATCCAGAAGGCTGGAAGTTCAAAGTGAAATAAGGACAGTCTGTCCATGACTCATGCCACCTAGAAACCATTCTTAATTTAGGAAAGTGTTAAAAGGATTATTCTATGGAGTGTCACCCTGCTGAATCAACTAACTTCTGCTTCTCATTTTTTTTACCCGACACAAATACAAGGTGGCCAGGGATTCTATTTTAAGATTAAAATCAGCATAAAATCCTCCTGTTCTCACTCACATATTTATATTTTTAATGCTCCATTTAAAGAGACAAAAATGCTGTTTGAGGGACAGATATCCAGCTATCCTCCAGGCTTTTTGCATGACCTATGGGCAAATGCTATGTGACACTTCCTGAAGGGCTGAAATAGCTCTGAGTGACACTTGAGCTTCTACAGGGCAACTGAAGTGTAAGAGTTTGGCTCCTAATGCACACTGTCACGTAACCCAAATATTCCTGTGCCTCAGTTTCCCCTTCCTGTATAGCAAAGGGGATATAGTTTCCCCATCTCGGACGGCTGATGCAAGGAACACAACACCCATGCTGATTTAGTGGATAATCTGGTAACATGGACAAAGTTATAGATCTCTCAACTAACATGAGGCTGAAACTTGACATCCACAGAAAAAGGCCCTATAAACCAAAATGAGGAGTGAGTCATCAGACTGGCCCTCAGAAACCATTTTGCTGGATAGACATTTCGCTCATACAACTATCCTCTCTTGGGTGCTCCCAGTAAGCGTGGGGGAGACTGAATGGATTCACTGTAGTCACAAAACAGTTTTACAGCTGCTGAAAAAAGGCCCATTGTAGCCCTGCATTCTACTATCTCGAGTAGCATACATTAATTTGCTGTACAGCTTCCATTACCCATCTGATCCTTACAGAAACAGAAGCAGCAAATCAGGGTTAGACAAATGAAAAGAGATGTAACTATGACAGAGAAAATTTTCTGGTTTGCTAAAAAAAAACAAAACCAAACCAAACTAGCACCCCCCCCCCCAAAAAAAAAAAAAACAAAACAACAAAACCAACAAAACAATAAACAAACAAAAAAAAAACTTTTAAATGGTTCTGCCCTGCTTTTGTGGGTTAGTTTGTTCATTTTGCTACATCATGACATTGTGAGCCAAATTTCACAATCAGAAAGGATCTGCAGCCCTGCCATACGCATATGTGCTCTTCCTGCTGTCACTGTCCACTCACGGCTTACACTCCTCTGCATTTATGGTATTTGCTCAGTAACCTGAATGGTATCAAAACCAACTGCGACCTCTTAATACAGAACTGTTCAGTCGCACGTACAAAGCCTCAGTTGACAGTCACATAATGCTGGACTTTGCAAAAACATGTAAGTAGATTTGACAGCCCCCGTCTAAATGTCTTGATTTTTCTCCATGGTGTCTGTCGAGTCAGGGAGAAAGAACAGTCCTGAATTACACACATTCCTCCCAGCATTCAATTACTCCACTCTCCCCCTTCTGGAGAAATGAATGCAGCTTCAAACAAATTAAAGGAGAATTTTGTCAGCTCTTTCATTCTTGATGGTGCAATAAATGAGGTGGTACTCAGCTTCTCTAGCCCCCAGCAGAGCCAAATGAAGGCTCACTCTGAAGTACAAATCTCCCTTCCTCCTCCCATACGCACACACCATACACAGCATTAACCCTGCCAGCTGCAAAGAAACAGAATTTGTCCAGAGTCCCCTGAAAATAGCAGCGTATCACACCTGCAGAGTGCTGTACTGCTAACCTCCAAGCATTTAATGATGGTCAGTCAGCACATATCTCCCCAAAACACTGTGAGACTGGACAAAAAATTCACAGGGTCTTTTTTTCTGCCTTCTGGCTTCAGAGCCACAGGAATGCATCAGGTGCTGTGCTGGTCGGCGCTCAGAAGGCAGATATATTTTGCTTTTCAATGAAAGCTGTGACAGAGAATACCCCTTGCTTTGGAAGCTCAAGTATCACAAGAGTAGCAGATTGATAAAATGCACCAGTGGGACCCCTCTTTTCCCCAGCCTTCCTTCATTTCACAGCAGTGCCTCTCTCAAAGGGCTGATGGAGCTGAACAGACCGAGCTGGTTTTTCATTCAAGTCAGCTTGTACATTTCCTAAGTTAACACAGCGTGGCTCTGACGAAACCTGATAAAAACCCACAGCAGTGGAAACAAAGAATCAAGTTAAGAAACAAATGAAACCCCAGGAAAAACTACAAATAAAGAAATACATGATACGATCTCTGCTCATACTTTTTGATTTGGACAGCCTTGTCTACCTCCAAGCCTGGGCAACAGGGGGACTGCAGCCTCCCTTGCCAACCTCAGGCAAGCAGTTCTGAGGTGGACCTGGACAAAACCACTGTAGTACTATCACATATGACAGTACAGAGCCAAGGCCAGATAAGAGCAAAATGGATTGCTAAAATATGGCCTCATTTTGGGATTAGCTATGAAGGACGGAGAAATGGCAGCACCGGGCTCCCTGCGCAACTCCTGTCATCAGGACAGGAACTGTTTTCCTCACATCTCCCAAGAACAGGCCTGCTGCCCTCCCTTGCCTCTGCCTAGGATCTGGCAGGTTCAGATACATGTTCCCACCTGGTACTGACTCTTTTCCTTGCCTTCTGCTTGTAAGTACAAATTCCATCAATTCCCCTTTTTTCTAAACAGCCAGAGTGCCTGTATTGCATGACTTTTGGAGTGAGGACTGCTGGCCCACCCTCACTGCCGCCATCCCGTGACGCAGCCTGCTTATCATTTGAAGGTGACGCAGGGCCACGCTCTCTCACCTACCCAGAGAGGTGTTAGGTGTTTCCAAGCCGTAATCACCCCAGCCTACCAGGCACTGACCTCAGGCCCTCCCTGGCACCTTAAGCGCCATCTTATGCCAGTGCCTGAGCAGAGCACGAAGGCCAGGGTCTTGACTGCGCCACAAGTCAGCAGCCTTGTCCTGTGGCAGGGAGCCCTGTCATACGAGTGCTTGTTCTTGCGGAGGCACAGCTCTCCTTTACTCCCAGCTTCTGAGAAACAAGAGTGCTAATGGGCGAACAGCTGACTACCATCCACCCTCACTGGCCGAGCTGGTCTGGACAGTTAACACCCTGTTGTAAAAGTTCAGCGTGTTGTGCATCAAGAACAGCAGATGAGTGTATCTCTCCGCTAAAGTGCAAGTACAGTTCAGGAAGAGATTACTAAGAAAATTGCCCAGAGAAGCTGTGGCTGCCCCATCCCAGGCAGTGTTCAAGGCCAGGCCGGAGGGGGCTTTAAGCAACCTGGTCTAGTGGAAGATGTCCCTGCCCATTGCAGGGGGGTTGGAACTGGATGATCTTTAAGGTCCCTTA